CGGCGGCGCCGGCGGACCGGCCTTCTTGACACCGTGACAATAAGTACACTGATATCTTGCTATTACCTCACAAAAGGGGTTGTCTACCTCTTACACGTGTGTTTATACGCTTATAACAATCTATAACTATAACAATGTGTTTCTACTTAAAGAGAGAAACATGATTCTACTTCTCTTAATTTTATGAAGGAAAACGTAACCAATCCTGGTAAAGTAATAACAAGACTAGAATCAATTAATTTATTCCATAAAAGTAACGCTTATATTTAAATATTGAAACAAACAAAACTTAATTTACTCAAGGAAATAATTGTCGACTGATAATTATTATTTTTTTCTATGTTTATTCATAATTAAAATATAAATTGCGCTATAATTTGAGCTAAGTGTAGAATTTTCTTAATTGAAGCTGGTGCCTGAACGTTCACTACCTATTTAGCTTCGATCTAAATAGTGAACGTGCACGTAAAGGGGAGCCGTCATCAATTCCGACTTGCAGGTTTCAAATACAAACGAAGCAATTACGAAATAGGATAACGCTGACGGTATTCGGATCACAGCATCAGATATGTACGTATACAAAGGATTTGACTTACCTACATACGCATGTCACAAGCATCGTTCTTGTATGCTGTAGGTGCGAGTATATATGTATCCGACGCCATACAAGTGCATTACAAGATTAAATGTATTCCATAAATGCAAAGCTTAAATACTTAATGTGATTTGAGTTATAAGAGATATAAATACTTATCCTTTTCTTGTTAGAAAAGGATGGAAAGGGGAAGAAAACTATAGTTTTTTCCAGTTTAGATGCTCATCGGATAAAATCGGGAATTACTTCGTAATATGTCTTCTCTATAGTCGTGGTAACACAGGTGAGCAGGTTTTTTGTGCAGCAGCTAATTTTGGTGAGAGCTCTACCCCTGTTTATTTATGTGAATGCCCAAATACTGGTAAGATATATCGATCGACAATTCATCTAACTATTCCAATTTAATGTAACTAAATGTAAATTCAACACACTTTATTTGGATTGGTCACTAGAAATATTCACTGATATTCATATTTAGTCTGCTAGTTTTGTAAAAAGATTCGTCTACAGTATATTTCTCTGAAATAACTTTTTATTAGCGACTGTTACGTGGCGATAGGATTGCCTGATGTTATGTAGTGACTTATAAGCCAGGTGAAAAGCTCTACAGTAAGCCACTACAACAAAAGTACTAGAGGAATTACATTGTGATAACACAATACTCACAAGACATTAAATATTTTTTGTTGTGTAAAATTAAACTCAACTAAAGCAAACACAATTTAACTGGAATAATGTAAGTTCTAAATGTAATTAGTTATGTCAGGGAATAGCTAGTAATGAGTAAATGGAGGTTCAAAATAATAATCTTCAATTATATAGAAACATTATTTCTCGGATTTACAATTCGTGCACTGCGGTCTTCATGTATTATGTTATCTAATTAGATTCTGAGAACATAGGAGGAGTGTCTTCCGCGTACTGTATTTATACTTTTACGATTGTTTACAGAATACATAGATACCGATATTTGATAGTATGTCCAATTGTTTTAGAATGTGCTCGCATATTTTTAACAGTATTTTCCATTGAAAGATGAGATTATGGCTGACAGCCCACACTGCTAACATAAGACAGTTTTTTACTAAGCGATTTGTCACGCCTGCTATTCGTGGTGTTAAGATAGAAAACATACATCGGGCATAGTAGTCGCAGGGTTTCAAGGACGCGCCGATAGACAAGTTAGTGGAAATAGAGATCAGTAAGGGGGGTTAGGCAAGGAAAATGACAGCGGTAGGTGGATCGGCTCTAATCGTTTGAATAAAGACTCTTTAGTATACTACTCTTTATAATACTCAATAGTATTTAAACATACGGGCCTGAGAATACTAAATAAGTTAGGAAAACATTCATGAAATAGATAATACGCCACAGTCATTAAATTATCACTGTCGCCGCACAGCCACGATTCAAGGTATCGACTAATTTCTTTGTTATCTTATGTAAACGTATAAGTATTACTTACCTTGTGCCATTTTCCCAACTCAGCTCCTCGGACGTCGCCAGCGAACTGCCATCATACTCTTCGAAGCCTTACACATCACTTTAATTGAATTAACTGCTTTATCTATTTTTCTACCACTGCGACAATTGTGTTATGCACCCGGTGAACAGTTTGCTGTGCAATAATAAACCTTATCTCTTCACTGCACGACTCATATTTTGTGTTTTATTAATGCAATAATTTCGTTGATACGCTAAACGAATTAAATGTTAGGCATTTTATGTAAGTATTTTGTAGATTGAGATTAAATACTTAAATTGATGCACATGTTATTTATGCAATTTTTCAAAATTAACGTCAGTTGGTCCAAAATTATTATTACGTTTTGAATCACTTGTTGTGTCTACCATTTTCCTTCAATTACCAAAAAACGTCGCATTTATCGCAGTCTTTTAAACAGTACTTCAATATTAAGCAGGAAAGAAGAGTCTTCTTCTGCAAAAGACGGGATAGGAGTGAGGTTCTGCATTAAGTCTAGATATTTCTTAATTATTAGTATCAATAAATGGCAACTTTTAAAAATAATTCTAACTAGTACTATTATATCTTTGAGTACTTATCAATTATTATCTCCGTGATACAATTATTGCGGTTTGTGTGCCTAAACAATTAATGGATCATGCGCGTTGATAAAATACTTGTGAGAATGTGAGTTATCATAGAAATCTACAATGCGCCACGTGTTTTACTTTTAGATTGATTTCTTTAAGTGTTTGATAAGTAGAAAACTTTCAAGAAATAAAGGTAAAAATGTATTTGTAAGAAAGTCACAAAACGTCAAAAAGCATACACGTCAAAACCACATGCTTCGATATAGAGTCTGATAAAAGAGGAGTTTAAAAGAGCGACGCGTGCTTGCCACAACCCGGGGGCTCACGAACTGGTTAAAATATGAATTCAGTTTATCAGATGAGGTTTGCTCGTAAGTAAATCATTTCTAGGAATCATTGACTGGAATCAAACTAGTTAATTAGGATAATCAAATCGACGTATGAAAAAGAAAACAATTAATTAAAGTTTTCCATTGCACAAGTATTTCGACTTAATTAATCGTCTTAAAATCTCCATTACCCTCATAGTCGGATTCAACTAGAAACATACAATGTGGGTAAAATCTTAAACCGTGTCAAACATCATTATCATGGCCGTGATAATGTAACATTTATTTATTTATGATAAACCTTATACGGGTACGTTAATATATATTTTTAGCATTGACTAACTTTAGTCAGCTTTAGTTAAATGAAGCTACAAAGAGGAATATCTGAACATGCTAAAGTCGACCAGCCGCGCTGGTCAGACCACGTGTAATCGTTACTTTAGGACTATGCAGTGGCTCGGCATCTCGACCTCCCTGGGATCTGCCGAAATAAAACGGCCCTAAATCAACTCTGTACTGATCAAAAACATGTTTCGTTTATTTACTTCGTCTAACGCAATTGCTGCCGAGAAGCTTAACATTTCCGGACTTATTTTTAAAAGTAAATGAACCTTCAAGCACAACAAGAATTTTCCAAAGTGACAACTGTCAGACGATTATACATTTTTGTAGGTTTTACTTTATTTATTGAATAAATAATTTCTTTTATCTTATTGAAGGCTTCTCTGCTGTTATAGAAATGAAGGTACGGTACAAATCTAATTTACTTTTTTATAATATCTTTATCAGAAAAGATGAATCGAACTCTGCATTAAATAAATATGATATACTCGTATGTGTTATAAACATGTAGATGTAGTAAACGTATATCACCGAGAATAGTGGTATTCCAACTGTCTATATCTTTTTAAATCGTTTTTCAAACATTTTATGTGATGTACTCCTTTCATGTAATATTTATTATGTGTATGAACACTCGCTACGCAGCCAAATGCCCTAAGTTATGTGTGTCCTGTAGTAAAATAAGGTTCAAACTTGACGACTCTCATTTAACTAGGAGTGAATTTGAATTATACTGAACATGTGTATCTGAACAGGGTCTAGTGTAAAATTGTGGCGCCGACAAATTTCGGATGGCACTATACTAGGTTAGACTACTCAGAACTGCGTGATTATCGACTTGTCAGAATAAATATGGCTTCCTTTAAAACCGTTTAAATATTCATTTAACTTTATTCAAAATGTTACCAGTATTTAGAATGTAGTATTTAGTACTTTCAAGATCAGACTAAATTAAACGTTGATCTTTGTTATCTTTATTTCGTGTAAATACACTAAGTGGCGAGAAACATGGAATTATTTGGAAGACCTTTTAAAATTATAATTAAGTACATTAATGCATTTCACATAAATATACAATATATCACATGTAACAAGAAGAACGTTATGTAGGGGTATACTGGTAGAGGTAGACCTAGAAAGAGATAGATGAATAATTATAGGAAAATCTGTATTCAAAAATATGCTTTAATGATAAATCTATGCTAATGTTATAAAGAGGAATAAATTAAAAAGTACTGACCGAAGTCACGAGCAACGGCTAGTTACTATAAAGCAATTTGAAACAATGTCCCAAAAAATGATGTTATTTTATCTACGATTCTGCATGAATCTAGTTGGCTTCACTTATGAAAACATTTTATAAAATGTATTGAATTCTATTGAAAAAATTCTGTACTGTTTAAAATTGTAAGTGACGAATGTCTACATTTAATAGCACGATGTCTTTGTAGCGTTCTTGCTATATATTTTTCTAAGTCGATTAATTTATTGCTTTATTTTCGTATCGAAATTACATTCTACGATTTTTTGAAATATAATCAGTTATACTGAATTTATTTTATCATTTTGATTTTATGAATAGACTTTCAATTTGTATCTCGAATAAAAGTTTTTGGTTAAAATGTAAAATAATTTTAACAAAGACCTTAGGATAGCTTTCATTCTTTACAAGTCTTATGTCAGTTTCTTGTATCGAAATACTTGTTAAAAATTTTTGAATAAACGTATCTGAGATATTTTTTGCAGAATATAAAGCCCCACGTGAAGAGAACTCGTCCCGGCACGAGGTCAGAACAATCTTCGATCAGTCCAATCGCTGTGGACAAAACGTTCAGCAGTCCAGAGTTCGCGCAAACCAGGGGACCGGGCAAACGCAAGGGCAAAGCGGCCGAGCGGAATGAAGTACTCTGTATATCACCAAGCGATAACTGTCTAGGTTTTGAATGGACTATTGTGAGTTTTTGCAAATGGATACATTTGCTTTCAACAGTAAGTCAAATCAACGTCGCGAGCTATTCATTTTGCAAAAGTGGTCTTACTTGTGTCTTACTAGTGTACTTGTTAATTTTACCCTTAGCTGCGGTTCAGTGCAATAATTAAAGGAGGTTCGTTTAAATGAACGGTCGCCGCAGTACAGATGCCAAACAGTTTTAAACGAAATTTGTGTAAATTTAAAGTGTAGTCAGTGCTCGGTTCAGTCTAGTTGTTATTTATTCGAAGCTGCAGACAACGCGGTCGTCAATTTGTCGACCTGTTTTAGCACATAAATATAGAACTTAATTAACTTTTAGAGCGAGCACAGTTATATAGCTTGAAATGGGGTAATGGCACTCAATTCAGCGGTAATTGCTTTAGAACTTCGTTTTATTATAAAATACATATTTCTGTTTTTTCATTTTCATAAAAAACAAGCCATTGTCGGTTGTGAAAATGTTTTATTCTGTTTGTGTGATAGTTTTAGATAATTTTAGTTGAAATCGCCCCACTGATATGGGTAATGTTTTTACGGGTATGTATATCTACAACTTAATGACCATCGGTTGTCTAAATGACTTGACAGATTATTGTTTAATCCCCGCAGTGTAATGATAGCCAGTCAGTATCCATTAGTTGGTTCTTCAATCACTAGTTTGGATTACAGGGTCTTCGTAAGGAAACAAAGATCAATGAAATACTGCGCCTAGACAAACATTCCGACCGAGGTGACGATACATTCGCTGCGACAGACGAGGACGCGATGCCTCGCACTCCTAACACATGCGTGAGATCTCTTCTCCATCCCAAGAATCTTGAGATGGACAGACAAAAGATTCATGGCAGTCCCAAAGCTAAGGCAGACAAATGTTGTGAACAAACTAAAGTGCCTAAGGTAGATTAAAAAGTTAATGTAACTTAAACTTTCCAAATCATTTGTGAATGTATGAGTTCTTGTCATAAAGGCGAATTACAAATGCATATCATGGCAATAATCAAATTTTAATATTTTATACTTAATTAACTATCGCAATTAAAAACTCGAGATCACACCGCTTCGGCTAAGAATCTTTTTGTATTAGTATGATCCTTTCCATTAACTACAAATGTCTGTTAATTTCTTTTACTTTGCACACAGAAATCTTGGCCAACAAAGTCACCGTGTAAGTACTCAGTTTTATCACGTTTATATAAGCTGTATTGGAGTTTGTTTAAAAACTTTTCATAATTCCCAAGGACTATAGTTATGTTATTAAATTAATAATTTGGGATTTCATGTCACAAAGTAATCTTGTTGTTGTAATTTACCTAAAGAAGCTTTTTGATTAATAAGATGCTTTTTTATTTGTGAACAAATAAGTGATGTACTCGTAGTTATTTACAATTGATTTAGGCTAGATTCGATAACTTTTCCAGGTTCGGAGGAAATGGATACAAACGATCCTTTAATACGGTTATTGCAAGATGTCCATCACGACACGAGAAAAAGTGCTAAAATAATAAGAGATTCTAAGGCAAAATTGATTAATTTACAAAAGGTATTACCGAGTTTTCTTAACAAAATTGTGTACTGAGATGAAAGTTATTGCTATGTAATTGAAGACGGATACGTAATCGAAGACAAGGAAAAGATGACATAAAATAAGCAAAGTGGAATAAACACAAAAGGAATACGTCTTCGAGAATCCAATAGAAAATTAACGAACTCTGAATTTACAAGAAAACCTATCAATATCTTATTACATATGAGTTTATAATAAAAATCAATAACATTTATGTGATGTTATGTTATGTGTGATAGTTTTTGATTATTCCGTTTAAATAGTGTTAGAGGAAATGACGTGTTGATGAATTAAGCAAATTAGTAACTTGTTTCCTCTGCATTTGCCTTACAGTTAATGAAATGTAAGATTTGGAAAATAGTTACAAAGGATATTTTTGTTAACTTTAAGTTACAGTAAACACATTTTCACCTGGTATTTATCCATCTGGTTAAAAAGATATAACTAGTGTTGTTTTTGTTGTAGAAAGCTGTTTTGAACGAGGCGGACATTAAGGAACTCGGGGAGCGTAATGAACTGCTTCTCCGCGAGATGGAGCGCTTCGACAGACTCACAAAAACTATTCAGAAGCTAGTCGGTGCCGAAGTCGAGCAATTCAAAAAAAATAAAGGAGATCCTTTTAAACATAATGATTTAGCGACTAATTTATATGGTGAATGATTCATAGTAAAACTTGTTTTTTTTTCTTTTTTAACTATGTCAATTATTAAAGTCAATTGATTTGCTGTACAGTAAATAATAGAATCTCTTGTTGCAATATTCCTGCTAGTGCCACAGATAATAGTTATGAGTTACGTTTTCAGTATTCGTTTTCTTTTGTATGTAAACTATTTTTATATTTTTTGTCATAAGTCATAAGAATACAAAGTTATCTGTTCTCAGACCTTTGCGTAACCGTCGTCTAACCATTTCCAAATTGGTTTTTCTTGTTTTTTTTTCATGTCCGCAGTTCGAGATTTTATTTTATCCGAGTTGTCTGTATGTGGCTTTTTGTGTCGATTTGTTTTTAAAAATGATTAGTTATTAAATTGTTTAATAAAGCCGCTACAGACAGTTATAATTGTCCGCATGTAGATAATACTTTACCTATACGGTTTAACTTACCATACAGTTAAAACTGTCAGCAAGAACAGGGCGTATGTATCGTGTGAAAATATAAAAGTGGTTTTACGTGTTTCACGTTTACAGGACTGCCAACAAAAGGACGAAACTAATGCTAAAATAACAGATAGTATTGAATATTTTAGTATTCGCTGCGTTTGATACCGAATATTTATCAGTAAACGCTATTCCCGGCCGCCGCAATTGAATTTAATGGCAGCTGAATTTCATTTGATTATAATTATTGTCGGTAGTATTCGAGGAAAATGGTGGCTATTCTGTTCACATCTCTGTTGTACACAGTAAATATACGAATAGAACAGATTGTTATTGAATTTGTAATATCACAAATGATTTACATACAATCTTACTCTAATCAAATGGTCGAAGTTGTCAAAATTCTGCTTGTCTTACAGTCGTATCATTTAAATCTCGAATAGGAATATAGTCTAGTCGTTACTGGAATTTGTTATCGTCTATGTCTTGGAAAATTTTGGAACTAGAAGCTCGTAAGAGGCGTGGTGACATTGTGATTGTTACAGAGCCGATGTTTCCGGAGTTAACAACGTACCGCCCCGCTCCCGCCGCCGCCCTGGCCGCTATCAGACACACAAACATGCCGGGATTACCGTTACCAGGAGGGACGATCACTCGAAGCAAATCTGTACGTCAAAACTGTAACACACGCGTTTATTGTAATTAATATAATCGAATAAAAATAGCAAAATACATAATTGACGATTTGTTTCTTTTTATTTTTTTAAGGAGATTGATCTTACCCGGAAACTGACTGAGAGCTACGATATGCAGGAAAAGCTAGTCGCTGATAATGCTGATTTAGAAGTCAAAAGGTTTGGCAAAGTCGATTTTATTTTTTTCACTCTCCTTTGCCATCCATTTAAAAGTAGAGGGCAATGAATACTTGCAATTCTTTTTTTAGTTTCACTTTTTCATTAGATCGGGCAATTTAATTGCTGTAATTCTAAATGAATTCGGGTCTATTTATATAGATTATTTACTATAACGTAGCTATCCCTAATCTTGCAAGGTGTCTTTAGCTAGTATTTAATTTATGCATATTGTCTTGTTAAACGTTATTCAGTTCTAATGAATGTGACGAGGTTACTTATAATTGCATATTTGAATTTTATTGCAAATAGATGTCAGGTAACTTCGACATTAATCCTTTTTTGTACGAAATATAATACGAACTTTTTGAATATACAACAATAAAAAAAAAAGTTTTTTTAAATATGTCAACGTGACTTTTTATAATTGAGTAAAATCCAGTACCATGAAACAACACTTTTGATTACAAAAATATAATTGATGTGAAAACCAAGGAGTACAAGATGTGTACAGCACGGTGAGTTGTTTGTTTTCAGGTATATTTTGTACAAGGAGCTGATGACAAAAGATCAGAGCTTGGAGATGTGTCGCGCCCAGATCAAGAGGCTGCAAGGGGAATTGAAATTGTTGAACATTGAGAATTCAATCCTAAGCGAAAAACTCGATAAGAATAACCCCGAGGTATTGAGACTGATATCAGATATTTTATTTCAAATCTGATTGGTCCAGAAAAAATATCATTAAAGATTGTAAATTGGTTTTGTAAAAAACTGTAATAGTATTGGAAAAATACTTTTAGTTTAAACAGAAATAAATGCTTATCTGAATGTTATTTTTTTAGTTATGGTACGTCTAGATAATAACTGTCGGCTGATGGAAGTGAATTTAAATATAGCGACTGATAGAGATGTATAGAATAGTAGTAAATACTGTGACCTCCATAGATACTAGGGATATTGGATACAAATTTTTATTGAAAATACATCTGAGTTGAAGTCGTTTCATTTTAATTTTAATGTTGACAATTTTAATTGTTTAGGGCGATGCAGCTGCGATAAATCAAGACGTTTTACGCCAACAAAAAACAAATCAGGTATTTTTTAATTTTCTCGCAATTTATGTTTTGGTATAGCTTTATATCTTTGTAATAAGTTATAGTCACTTAGGTATTTCATAAATTTATGTAATTATCTCTTGCTTCAGATTGAAGAACACATTAATGAGAAAAGTCCACAAGAGCTCATCGATAAACTTGATAATTACAAAAGCTCCAGTGTAAACTTTGTAAGTATACGGATGTTTACCGTTTATATATTTTAATTTACATTGTCGAGGTTTTGTTTACCTTAATGTGATGTATTACGCCCATTGTTTATAAGTGGTAATAAAACGAGAATTGCTATCAATAATTTGTTCTATCCTATTAATTCGTTTACCTAAAATGTATGGAGAAATGTTGCAATCATTTTGTTAAAGGAAAAGCAGCTAGGTGAATTGGAATTGGAGGTTCGTCATATTAGAACGGAAATGGCTAACATAAAGGAGGCAGGAGCGGGCAGTGCGTGCCGCGGCGGCAGCGCTGCCGGACCAAACACCTGTTTCCAGCAGCATGAGGTGAGACAGTAAATACTTTGATAATTGTAATTATTCATAACATCTTATGCAGTTTGTAATATCAACTGAGCTGTAACAATAATGTTTTCTATTGAACTATAAGGTTCAATTGTAGGTGTGTGTGTGTTGTAGGTAATTTTAGAACAAATTAGTTACAAATATTGTGGTACAATACATTATAGTCTCTATCAAAATAACGTATTAAAGCTTTTTTTCTTGTTTTGGTTTGACAATACAATTTATTTCAGGGCGGAGGACCCCCGGTACCTCCAATGACAAAGGCCGTGAGTATGTGTAATTAATAAAAAGGCTAAGTAACGGCGTCCAGTACGTTCAGAAACAAAAGATTCACAAGTATATTGAGTAGACAACAATCTGCCTGACATACACTTAGCAGTAACTCAATAACAACATAATACAAGGTTATTATCAGTTTTCCCTCCCCGTGGATATCATCTTCCATTTCTACATTAAGGTTAAATAAGAAATCAAATATATAAAGTACAATGAGTCTATTATACGGCCAACTAACGACAAAGGCAGAATTGTACGGCATCGCAAACAATGGGCCCGTCACACGCGTGTCTGCCCTTATGACGACAAAGTACTTATTACATGTAATAGCAGGCAGTATGTCATGAAAATAATTTGCTATAGTTTTGTTATAACGTCAATAAATTAAATATTACGTAGGTATGTCATATGGATAACTTTTATGTTTACAGAACATATACTCAATTTGTGTATTGAAATAACTGAAGTTTGAACGTTGTAAATTAGTATCAAATAAAAAGGCAATAGACTCTGTGCGAATTTGCTTTGAGCGTAGCGGCGCGTTGCGGGGGTAATTGGATGCGTAGAGTAGACAGACTATCTTACTTGCTGTAACGAGTGTAGTCTCTGCCGGTGACATGCTCTATTCACATTAACCTTAATGGATTTGTGGTTTACGCATCTGGAGGTATATATAGCTTAAAGATGTAGTACCGTGCAAAATTAAATTTATAGAATTATGAATATACAATGGTTCATAAAAATGAGGTTGAATTGATTTCAGTGTGGAGTATGTCCGCCGTGTCCGGCGCCCTGCAACCCTAATGCTCCCCCGGTAAGATGATGTATCGTTATTTATATATATTCCAAATTAACTGTATTTGTCAGCAATGATAATCGATTAAGTATTTCTTAACGTGCTTATGAATACTTCCTGATGTTATTGTTAATTTTCCTGTTTATTTTACAGACTCCTGCTGAAAAGGAAGTACAGAGGCTGACCATTCAGTTGTCGCAGATGCAAGAAAGCTTTAAGACTAAAGTTGCAGAGGTTCAGTTACTTACTGTCTTTAGTAGAACAAATTATAACTAAAGAAAAGCTTTTACATGTGTGTTTTCGTATTTCAGTGTGCTATGCTCCGAACGGAACTCCTTAAGAAGAAAGAAGAGTTGGAGAAGGAGCGGTGCCAGCATCGCGAGGTGGGGAATAAGCTGCGGGAGCTGGAGATGAAGTTTGAGGGACTGACGACGCATACCAACATGTTGCTGGGCACGCGGGAGGAGGCGTTCGAGCAGGAAGTGAGCGTGAGGATGCTGAAGCAGTGTTACCGCGAGGCCCGGGAGGAGATCGACGAGCTTAGGGTGCTCATGAAGGAGCAAAACGATCAGCTCCAAGACTATAGAGTTAAAGTTGGTATCCATTATTTAACCTCGTAAATACACGAGTAATAAGTGTACATTAACTTCTACTACATCTATACGTTTTAGTATCTGCAAGCACAACAACTTGTAGAAGAACAAAAACGACAAATGGATATGATGGACATGGACAATACGAGAATAAGTGAACAAATTAATCTCGAGATACAGAAAGTTAAGGTAATCTTATATGCGTATATGTTTTGCTATAAAATAATGAGTGGTTATTTAAACTATAAAATATTCGCATGATTTTAATGGAACTCATTCGGTAGTTTAAGCCGTAAGTGTTCAATGTACGAAATTTATTTTAACTTATTGATTTTCGTTTGCTTTCACGGCAGTTAAAATTCCAAGAGAAGTTGCAAGAGTTGACTCCGATTCCCGACCTACTGAAGGCGACTCAGCTGAAGCTGAAGGACGCGCAGCAGTCCCAAGCCATCGCCGAGCATAACGCTGAGCAACTCGCTAGGGAATTGAATTGCGCCAGAGAAAAAGTTCACATGATTTTTTAATTCCTTTAAATATACAATTATTTTGTCCCAACAATAGTAAATAGTAATCCGGATATGGTGCAATTAAAATTTTTTCAGGTGCATGTACTTTTGCATAACACTATCAAACCGCCTGAGAAAACACCGGAAAAAGGTACCGATGAAAAGCAACTGGCTCTCCTGCAGCAGCGAATTTCCCAACTCACGGAAACAAACATAAGCCTTAAGGGTGAAATTGAAAGACTCAAGTAAGTTTTATTTCGATGTGCTTAAATTTATAATAGCTTAGATTTTTTAAATGTTTTTATTTTTCTTTATTAAAACATGATTTGGTTAAGACTCAAAATAATGTTCTACCACCATATCAAGCGGTAATAGAACAGTAGGTTAGGACACTGTTTAACAAAGGTGTTTCTTCGTAGGGCTAACGTGATCCGCATGGAGGAGGCGGTGCTGGCGCATGAGAAGCGGCTACACGAGAAGATGC